CATAACTAAATGCTCAGATTCTCTGATTTTTGACATTGTTCCTGATCACAGCTTCTATATTTTTATTTCGTATTCAGGTATATGGTCGATCTGGAAGATTTCGTCGCCGCTTTCTGGGATAACAAAGATGCTAAAACGGTAAAAATATACATTTGCTTCTCGCATGAGCAATTTGCGCCGAGAGAATTAGAGTTCGTTATTCTAGGCGCTCTCGAAAGTGAATTTGAAAGCTCTCACCAATTTGCGACAGAGGGTCCGGAAATATGTGAAAGAATTTGAACAAAAGATAGCGGAGTATCGCGAAAGCCCTGATCCGGCTGGTTATGAAACCCCAGAGGAGGAAGAAGAGGTATGAGTGTTCCGTTCTTACTGTTTAGTACTGTTCTTCAGTTTCTTTCTTGTCAACATGTTCTGCTGTTTAGGCCGATGAGTCGGGCAATGAAGCCGTTGATGTAGCGCCTGCAGGAAAGGATAAGAAAAAAGACATGAGCAGTGATAGCGAGGTGACTTTATTGTTCTAGGATCGTTAATACGAAACCCAACCCTGTTGGTCATTGAGTTGTGGTGATTGTGAATTGCTCAAATTTGTTTTGAACAGGCTAATAAGCCGGTAAGCTGTGGTCCTCTCATTTCTTCTTTCCAGAGCGACTCAGACTGGTCTACAGACACCGATTCGAGCGCCTCTGATGTTGATGCAGACTTTGGATCGAAAATGGAGGCATTGAGAAGACATTTCCTGAAGTACGTGTTTCCTTGCTTTCTCCTTGACGTCTACACACTTAGACTCGTGTCTGCTACAGGATAGGAATATTTCTCTTGGTTGTCCAGTCAAGGCACGTCCTGCCGTTGGGAACTTTTTTGCAAATTATTACCTCCTTCCGAGACTTCCTCCTCTAGTCTTCTCCATCCTACCTATCATCTTCCTAATTCTTGAATTTTCCCGACTTCCTGCCTTTTTTCCAGAGTTTTTATCTAGAATTTTTCACTCCTCCCTTCTGAAAAAATGTGCCACACAGCAGCCCGAAGGGACTGGGAAAAGTCAACAACCGGAGACATTTCCAGGAGGGCACGACCGCCTCCCTCCAGCCGACCAAAGACTGACCCCTCCCTCCCCCTCATGAGAATCCCCAACGAGATCCGAGTGCGATAAGCGCCAGAGGATTGGTGAGGTTGACCTCTGACCCGCACTTCCGCACTTCCTTCATACTGCCCTCATACCAAGCTCGTTTTTGTTTCTCCTTTCCTTTTCAGCCTTCATATGCTTATTTGCGCTTCCACTCTTCCACACTATTCGAGCGTTTCTGCTTGCAAGAGATCCGTTGCCCTGATCGCAGGCGTTTTAGCAAGCTTTTTTTGCCTTTTTATCTACTGCCCCATAAAGAAAATTAGCGCCTGCCAGATCCATATTTGAGACCCTGCTAGCCATCGAGTCGCTACCATCATTCCGTGTAACTATTTAACAAATCTCAAAAGTCACGGTGATAGCCTCAGAGCATTAACAGCCCAGTCTTTGAAGATTTTTTGACACGATTACGGGCGCGCTTCGTGAGCAGTTCACTCGCTGGCTGTTATCAACAGCCCTACAAATGCAGTCCCTTCAAGGCCATCAACTTTTATTGAAACGTTTTCCATGTTGCCCTAGTCCAGTCAGCCTTCGGAGGCTATTTTCTTTACTTCGGGACCGACTATTTGGTAGTCACAATGGGCTTTGTGTAACCTCTGTCACTGAACACTTGCTCAAAGTATATATTTTCAAGAAAGGAGTTCCGAGGTGATGAAGACGGCGCAGCTGACACAAAAACTCAGCCGCACGCGGACACAAAAAAGGAGAAGAAACGCCCAGCAACGAGATCAAAATAATCTAAGGTGAGTGTTAGCAAGACCAGCTGTAATAACCAAAGTGACAGTTTTCTGTTCCTTTTAATCACTCGGGCTGACTTAGTCACGTTATGGCCGTTTTCTTTCCATTTGCCCCCCAATGAAAAAGGTATCCAAGCGAGTGAAGTGATAATATCAGCATTGCCGCCTAGTACCCAGTCAATCATAGCAGCGCGCGCTCTCTACGTCACTCTGTTTCTGCGTCAGTTCGTACTGTGATACCGGCTACTGCGGAAGCGACGCGTCCACGCCCGCGCTGCCTGGAGTTTAGGGGGTACTTCACGTGGTACTCCGGTCTACGGACAACTCGAGCTTCTTAAAGGCAGTTGTCACTATGACGTTGCGCACTTGCTCCGCCTTAAAATGCTAGTAGGGCGCTATATAGTGGGGAAATGGCGAAAGAACGGAGTGAAACGGTCAAAATCCTGCGAAGAAAAGCCTCCGTTCTCAGTGACTTGAAAATCGATTTCGGACGAGTTTCCCATAGGCATCTTGCCAATAACCGCTACCGAAGATACGGCTGCATATGTGTACCCATGTATGCATGCAGCATCACGGCCGCTTCATACCAATCCCTTCGCTTCATAATTTGCTTAGCAAATGAATGAATACGAGCGTCAGGAACGGTCGTCCATTTGTGGGCGGGCGGGCGTGGTGGGCGTTTGGGTCGGTATGTTGTGGCTTGATAGGGCCCTTATAAGGGCACCTTCCTTGGAAAAGGCGCTATGCAGCGCCTGCTCAGGGTCGCGGAATTCCGTCCTGCCAGGCGTATTAATCCTACTCGTCTCTTGGGGAATTTATCGTGCCAACTGCCTTTAATCCCATAGATGGTGTGAATGTTGTGTTTTTCTCTGCACCCTCTGGTCTGCATGGCACTCCCGGCCACCACTCTCTTGCGCATTCCAGCTTTTCACGCACACCAAGTGGTATTTTTTCTTTTGTTTTATAGGCTACACTTGATCTCGTTGATGACGAAGAGGATGACGGTGGTGAATGGACGCCAATCACCAAAGAGAAGCAAGTTCAATTATTCGAACCAAAACAAGAAGTCACGCATGAAGTGAGTTTTCTGGATGCTTATTTTCTAGTGAACTAGTTTTCTTTTAAGTTGCGCCAGACAACTTTGGCGCTGAGTTTGTTCAAACTTGAAAAAAAAATTCCAAATTTTCAATTCAAGGCAATGATCGGTAAGTTGACCGAAGTGATGGCTTCACGTGGACGCCTTGGAACGAATAGAAAGCAGCATGTTCGTTTACTGCAAGAATTGTACAAGATTGCAGAGGAGGTCAGCTTAATAAGAGTTTCCTTGTCTCGTGTTTTGAAGATTTGTATGCGGCTTCGCCAGTGACCAGTGAAGTGTTTTTACAGAAGAAACTTGGAGTTGGAATTTCCGTGAAAATTCTGTTCAATATTATTTCGTCACTTTTCGAGCTGAACACCAAGATTAGCGACTTCATGGAATTTGCAAACTTCAATAAGTGAGTTTTCCACTCGAATGCACGCAACGCTTTAGCTCTTGACAGTAAGGTAGC